TTATTATCATTATTATTTTTGTTGTTTTGTTGTTGTTGTTGTTGTTGCTATTTCATTTTTTTAAATTGTTATTGTTACTACCATTATCGTCATCAGTATTGTTATCATAATCATCATTATTATTTGTACCATTATTATTGTTGTTGTTGTTGTTATTATCATTATTATTATTATTATTGTTATTGTCATTGTCATTAATACCCTATTAATAAGAGGTACGTTCTTACTAGGATAGGTACTGGAGAAATACAAAGAGCAGGAACATTTTTGGTCGTTTAATGTACCTGACAAAAGTACTTGACGCTTATATTATGAATTACGGGGCTCTTTAGATGTATTTTGTGAAAATTGGTGCCACTGAAGATGAATGTTTGACCTGTGAGTCTAAAAATTGAGAGAAGTTTCAACAGGGACGCCTCCTTGGCCCCAGGTTCTTTGGAATATTATAATTATTACAAAAGGTCTCACAGTAAAGTTGCCGTTTCTGTAATGGCATGGGGACATTTGTTTAGTTGTAACGTGCATTTACCACAAACTCCCTTTACCCAAAAATCGAAAAGACAGTTAAGAAGGGATGTGTTCTCAAACAATTTACAGTTGCTGCAGAAGTTGTGAACCATTTATAGAGAGACCTACAAAGTCCTACAACACTATGAATGAGAATAAAATTCCAGTTTTGTACTAAGGTCAAACTAAAGAGCAGCCTAAAGCCCTTCTTGGAAACTGAATGCTGGAAGTAGACAACATCACGGACTTGGTCTCCAATATCTAAGAACTTACAATACCAACAACTGACAATATCAACAACTGGCAATATCAAAAAGTGACAATAATAACAGATGACAGGGTCAACTGATAATGTCAACAGACAATTACAATTGAGAATATCAACTACTATCAACTAGTGACAATATAAAAAACTGACAATATCAACAATAGCCAGATATTTGATCAAGAGTCTAAAGCCAGAACTGACCAAACTGTCTCGATCATGGGAAAACAATGAATGAGCAACCATTTGATTAGTCTCAACATCAAGATTAAGATGAAAGAGTACCTATCATGTATCTGTTTATGGCGTAAGTCTGAAAACGAGAGAAGATACCTGTACAGCTTGTTTTACATGAGATGAACAAGTCCAACAACGTTTGTGTGAAAGGCACGTCAAAAGTTTCTTAGAATGAAATGATTCGATAACAAGATTACCAATACAAAGGTACTTTGCATATTGTACTGCACGCCAGTTTCACACTGAATCGCTACGTTGTTTATCGCCATAACAATAATCCTAAACCCCAACGTATGCATTATATCTTTAATCAAACTATAGTTTAGTGCATAAATCATTCATTTTTATTCATTTTGCTGTTCATTTCTATTCAAACACTTAAATTGGAGCAGAATTATAGGTACGTTTGTGATGCTGGTAAATTGGATAACAAAATTGGCCGCATGCATACAGAGGTGGAAAACCTTCGGTATGCTACAGTTATATCATAAGATCAGACGTTCTCAAAATGATATTACATATGCCACACTGGCTAAACTGACTAGACATGTTCAACATATAGCAGATAGTAAAACCCAGATGTCGGAAGAATTTAGTTAGAACTGGAAACGCCATCGCCCTGTATAAAGACAGTGGAAAACCGAAAGAAGTGGAAGAAGCTGGTGGCAACGGCAACATCTACTCTTGTGGCGCCCCAAGGGTCAGCAAGATAAAGGATAGGGGAAGTAAGGTGAGGAGAAGAATTCAGATGATCGCGGCTCAAGATAAAGGGACACAAACCGAAGACTGGAGGCAAAAGAAAAGGGCACAGCATCATGTATATATATGCAATGCCCGGTCTTACACAACTTGATGACACAGATGCACCTACCCTCGACATCCTAAGGATACCAGAGGAAGGAAAAAGTAAAAAATAAGTAAAATAAGACGACACAGAGAAGGAAATATCAATTATTTCTTTGCACTTTCTTTGGGCTCGGCGTTTTTTGTTTTTGTTTTTGTTTCTTTTTTTCTTTTTCTTTTTTTTTTGGGTTGTTTTTGCTTTTGGTTTGTTTTGTGGTGACACGAATTGGTCGAATCAGCCAGATGCATCAATATTATGATATTTGAGATCAAGACCATCACAACAGAATAATGTGTAAATTGAAGCGTAATGCTGTGTTTAAATACTATATTAATGAGACTCAGTCCAGGATTAAAACAGTTGTTGGCTTCTCTGGGGTTAAACCAATATGTTTTTGAGATACAAACACGGCTACTTTTTGGGGTTGTTTACTCTCCCATTGTCATCAACATTATTATCATACGTGTATAGTGTATAAGTATTATGGATGAGTGTTACTACCACTTTCCTTACTTATATTATCATTATTACAGTTACTTTTGATGTTGTTGTGGTTGCTGTTATTGTTACAACACATTATATTATCTATCTTATATTTTTAAAAGCACAAAGAAAGACATAGTGTAACTAACACAGCGTCGTCCAGCGAATCTGACGAGTTATCCATAATGTCTGAACTCCCACTGTCTTAGGCGAGGGCTATCACTGGAATCCTCCTCCAACTATCTGCAGCTTAGCCTTGCTTACCATCTAGACCCACTCCAACCCACCCCACGCCCACAACCCCTTGCCAATTGATTGATCTCTACCCCGACTTTAAATATTTAACGACAAGCGCAAACACAGCGCTACCCTCCCTCCCACCCCTCCCTCCTCGTCCTCCTCAACCACACTTTGCGTGCTAAACACACACACGCACACACACACACACACACACACGCCCACACACACGCACGCACACATATTATATTAGTATTATAATATGCACAGATACACTCACATACACACGCACATACACACATACACACA